TACATTTAGTGGAAAAATTCTCTCTGTGTACTGTATTACGCGATTTTATGCTTAGCCGTGGAAGGCTATATAAATATTTCGAATGAAGCAGCTGTGAGACATAATGATTTATTTACAGTTGTTGAGATGAAAATTCTATATATTAGTAATATATAAATAAACATTTGTAATAATCGTTTTAATTAATTAGAGTAGCATTTCTCTTGCACGATTATTAAAATAAACATCTTTTGAATAACTAAGACAATATTTTTTCTCTTATATAACATATGTAATTATTATGCTAGCTTCATTTTAAATCAAAATTATGAATAATACTTGCATAATTTATTTACTTAATTATTCAACTAAATTAAAAATTAAATAGTTTTTAAATAACTTGATATATAATATGAACTAATTTTATATGTAATTCGATTGAAATAAGACACAGACGTATTTATTTTTTATTTTTACTAATCTTAAATCTATTGAATAGATTAATATATAAATATTGCCAATTATAGGAAAATTTTATATGATTTTTTATGTTCAATGTACAATTCAATCAATGATTCTGTTTGTGCAAATGTAAAAAATTATAAGAGTAGCGTAAAGAATTATTCATCGTGCAATCAGTAAAATTCAAAAAAGACAATCTCACTGAATGTTATGGACAGATGAAGCTTCTGTTAAATAAAAATCATGTCGGAAATCAGAACTAGGGAACCTGCTATCAATAGAGTTAGTCGAGCTTTCAGAGACAAAAAAAAACAAAAGAGAATATTTCATTTCAGTTTGCCCACTAATTCCGAGCTTTCTTCCTATCATTTCAGTATTTCGTCAAAATTTCATTCAATTTCATATTTCTCAGCTTTAAATTGAACCGAAATCACTCATCTAATCAGAAATCATTGAAGGAAGGACGTTTCGTCAATTTATAATTACATTACAAATCTAATAAAATGATGTATTTGCAAAATGTATTACCCGAGTAAGAATAAATAAGTCTAATACAGACCCGATTGAAGCCCAATCTTGACTTCGAGAAATTTTCAGTGCCCAAAACGAGCCCATTACAAGCCTAAATTTCGAAGGAGCCCAATTCAAGCCCAAAAATTATTTTCCAGGCTCACAACGCGCCCAATTCAAGCCTAAAAGTATTTTCTGTGAGCCTGAAAAATGATTTGGACTTGAATCGGGCCTCCTTTGGGCGTGCCTAAAAATTGATCATTTTTACTCGGGTAAAATAACATACAGAAATTTTTAGTATGAGTAACCTAGTATTGATAGATCTGTTAAATTATAATTAAGTAATTTTCCATACAAAGATGGACTTGGGCAACTACTACATAAATGAACAAGTATTAAGAAGCTTACGTTGGGAAAAGGCTAATTGATGAAAGATGTTATACGTATAAATCTGAAAGCATGAAAGTTATTAACTTCTTAGTGGGAAGTTATCGCAATGAGTCTGATTTGTTGAATCCCAAATTTTGACACATTTTCGCGTTTCAAGGTCCCAAGAGTCAAATACAATAGTTGTTAAATGGACGTCTGTGCATGTATGTGCGTACGTCTGTATGTCTGTACGTTCGGATTCAATTTTCGTCTCGATTATTTCGAGAACAAAAAAATGATATTGACGTGGGACCAATTACATTCAACAGATAATTACACAACTTAGAACTGATTCTAAATCCAAGTGCATTCTTGTTACACATCTAAACGTGTTAAATATGACATCACCCATTTGATTAAGAATGTTGCCATTTTTTATCAACTAGAAACGCACTAAAAGTGACTACATGTCAATCAAATGGATAACGTCATATTTAACACATTTAGATGTATAACAAGAATGCACTTGGATTTGCAGTGGTTTTATAATAAATTCTTTTTTTAAGTTTCAAACATATTTTTCGGCTTAAATTAGTCGTCTTGTGGTCCTAAAAAGTAATTTTAACTCAAACTGGGTGCGTTGTGATCCTGAAAACTAATTTAGGCTCGAATCAGGCCGCCTTTGAGAGCGCCAAAAAAATTGATCATTTTTACTCGGGTTTGGTTATCTTCAATTGCACGATAATTTTTGAACTATTGTCAGACTGTTATTATAGTTTGGTTGAAAATCAGTCAAAATTGAATGTAATTTATTGTTTTAATTTTTTATGATGATTTAAATAGTATTCAATTGATAACTATTTAAATTATCATAAAAGACTGAAACAATAAAATCACAAAAAAATTACATGTTTATTATAATAAGTAGGATATTTATCATGCTATTAATTAGAAGAATAATATTACAACAACAATGTATGAGGATTAATTCAAATGAATAATGAACAACTTGAATTTACGAAACGTTCTGTGGTTGGAATGGTCACATGAGGAAGTGAAGGAGTAATTCTTCTCTTTTACTTCATGAGTCTCTCTCAGGCCAAGAGTCATAAAAGTTGACCCTCTTTCCTCTGTGTTGATCTACATACATAACAATCCATGGCATAAAAAAAAAAAACATTTAAAAAAGTTAAAAATAAAATTTGTGTTACATTATTAAGTTTCTTTTTATTGACTTTAAACACATTCAATAAAGAATTTCCAATTTTATAATGATGATTTATTTTATTTTAATAAATATATTACTTATATTTTGTATTCATCAATACCCTAACTAGATGATGGAAAAATAAGAAATATTTTAAACTTTTCTTTGATGTTTTTAAATATTTGCATTTTTTCGTTCCCAAAACTTTAACAATTTATTAGATTTTTGTGTAACTTTGTTAAGACAAATTTGATTAAACATTTTTTTCAATTAGAATCGATAACACATAACTTGTATTTTATTGATAAGATACATAAATTTATTAACTCTTGACTTCGTTCAAAAGAATAATATTAAAGGTAAATATTTCTGCAATGTTCTTGAATGTAAAGAATTATCTAGATTGCATAAAGTTAATGTAAATGGTTCTGTTGTATCAAGAGAAAGTTTATTTCAGAAAAATATAGCAAAGTAATTGCCAAATAACTTACACGTATAAAGGATAAGCATTACTGTTACTGAAAAGGATATCATTATTAGCATTACTGATACGAAATAGAATCAATAAGTTATGACTTCTTATTTCTAGAAAAAAGCACCATAAATGATAATCCTTCTTTACATGCTAAGATCAGAAAAATTCGTTCTTTTTCTATGTCTTGCTTTCTCAATCAATTCAATTTAGTGTTTGCCATAATTTATCTTCATCGAATACATTTCTAATATTTCCAAAATAAAAAGAAAGAAAAATGTATTTAATTGAATTCAATTAATTTAAAATGAAAGTTCTTAATAATTTATCAAGAATTTTTTTAAAACTTTGAACTATTAAATCATCATTAACCTAGAGTATTTAAATCGTAATTTATTCCTGAAAATTATTTCAATTCTCACAAAGCTTTTTTATTTATTTAAAAAAAAAATTTAAACGAAGTTTTCAATTCTTTTCTATTAAACTTACTTTTCGTTTTATCGAGCAAATTACTGAATCGACCGAAAATAGTCATTGAAACTCTACGTGGAATACAAGATCTTGATGAGAGAAGACTCTAGAGGGTCAAAACGTCTCGCAAGTCTCTAAGGATATGATCTGACAAATGAACCAACGGATGCAAATCAATCCCACGGTACCAAGCCTAAATTGTACTAAACCTGCTGTAACTAACTGTGGTTAAATTCCTTTTGCAACAGACCTCAATTCTCACAAGGATAAATACAATATCAGTTTCGAACTCTTAGTTCCATTATGATTCAAAGATACTAGTGCTCGTTTGCTGATAACAAATACATCGTATAAATCTAAATGAAACTTTCCTTACGACTACTTAGTAATAAACAATAAATAATAAATACAGTAATAAATAATTCTCCAAGTTAATAATTAACTCATCAATCTTCATAGACTTTTTAAGATTAAACTCTAAGTTCAGTGGTATTATGTATAATCTGATCTAGATATTTTTTTAAAATGACATATTTATTTATTTCCATTAATTCGGATGACTTTTCAAAAATATTATCTTTTTATTAGTTATCAAAAAAACTTGATCTGCAAAAAAACAGTAATTAAACAATAATTATAGTTTAAATAGCAACTATAGCAGAAACAAAGATTTGCTCTTTCCAAAATGATAAAAAAAATATATCACTGAAGTTGAGTACGAACATTCTTTTCTTTCATTTTCAAAAGAAATACTCTTTATTAATATACAATCATGAGTAATTTTACGATACCATCAATATCTGATGGTGTATTTTTTAGCTTTTCTTTTGCCTTTAAGCATACAAATAATTCGAATGATTGAAGTTACATATCCTTCTATATATTTATGGTTCATGTTATGTAAAATAAACCAGTTCATAGAAGAATATTTAATACACTCTATGTGTATGTAAAGAATGCATTTTATAACATTTTGTATATTATCAATCTGTCGATATTCCTAACTTTCAAGAGACATGAATACATAAATCGGAAATACCTATGGAAATGGATGCAGCTGATGTCCACTAAGATCTCTATATCACAAAAGAAGTAGATTACCTCAAGAGATTGGAGGAGTATTTATGTAAAAAAGCTGAGAGACTTCGATTTAATTTTATTTAAAATGATTGTATAAAATATTAAAAAGTTTCTTGCATATATTTCCTATTCCATTATTTCGGATTTATAAATTTATGGAAGTTGATGGAGAAATTTTTCCGCTAAATTTCAACTGTGAGAAGTGTAAATTCTTGTAAGATTCAAACTGCTTAAAGTACATCTTAAATTTATTGAAACTGTTGCGTCAAACTATAGAGAATCTAGACCGTGAATATATCAGTAACTTATAAGTTACCTCATTTATCCTCTGAGTTCGTTATCTATGTATATGGGTATTATATACTTGTTAATATTGCTTCCTGAAATTTACACCAAATTCTATATCATTTTATCAATGTTAAATACAAATTTAAAACTTCTACATTTCAGGTATAATTTGCAATCCGACCAACTGTACTCAGTGCTTTGGTATAAAGATAATGATGAATTTTACAAGTACGTGAACTCGGATCAAAGCCAACACATTTACGAAGTGGAGGGCATCAACGTTTATGTGAGTTATTCAAAGTACTTTACGAGTACTAGTTTTTTTTTTTATTACTTCTATGTCAAGTTTTATCTTTATTTCTAAGCTTAAATTGACAAATTTCATTATTTAAAAATGAAAGCGATTTTATTCACTGTAATACAAGTAATTCTGAGTAATCATCATTCCATCAAATATAAGAATAATTAATTTTTTTCTGATTCATTTGATTGATAAAAATTAAATACCCACTGTCTAAAATCGATTTTCAGTTCAGTGACGATTTTGAAGCTTAAATTAAATTTGTTACTCTGATAAGTTTAGATGTTTTTATTTCTTCTAGCTTAAATAATTAATTCTTACCATAAACTCTATACTATAAATAGATTGTAAGGCTTGTTTATTTATAAATCATTCCAATCAACCATGGCCAAATGTCAGTCCTAGAATATGTCAGTCTCGCTTTTTATTGAGACACCTAGTAACTTAATGTGCTATTTATTATTGAATATCTTAATATTAATAGAAATTAAAGACATTTGCCACTTGTTATAGATTATTTTCACCTATTATATCATAGTTATTTTTAATAAAACCTTCTTTCATAATTCATGTTAAACTTACCCTTGAAATATGCTTGGTCCCAACATTCTTCTATCATCATTCTTTCCTTTCCTGTTCAATAATAATCCAAATCCCGGTCATAGCGATGAGCCTAAGTATAAAAGAGAAAAAAATATAATATCACATCACGGAGAATGTAATTTTTCTAGCTTATTTGTCCAACTATTCCAAACATTGAATATGAATTCAGTAAAGCAATTTATACTGTAAAAGAGAAAATATAATTAAAATATTTCAAATTGTGCAAGTTATTCATGTAAATGGTAAAGTGAAATTAAATTTCATCGCTCGAAGTCAATGATTATCACTGGAACTTAAAGGCAATCATTTTGATTAAATATCACTTACGTTAAACTCGTTTATTTTCTAAATAAAGGTTGGAAAAATTAGGCTAAGGATATTTATTTCTATGAATAAATAAACTCATTTTGCATTATATTTTAAATTCCTTTATTGAGTTAAAACAAGATTCAAAAAAGTATGTTCTAACAGACTGAAAGACTCTCATGAACTAACTTCAATGGTATTTAGTCTACATAATAATCTTTTAAATCAGTCCTCAATATTATCTTCAAAAAATAATAATAAGAACATTTATGAGAGTAATATAAACTTAGTCTAAGACGTAGTTCCATCATTATTAAAACACTTAAATATCATATATATAACGGTGAGAATCTTTATTGTGATGTATTATAAACTAATATAAAGTAATGGTTGAATTTTGTTATAAACTCCGACAATAAAGAATTTTAAAAAATGATTTAAAAATTTTTTTGTAAGAATGTTTCAAAAATCATAGAAAATAAAACTTGCTTGCAACAATTTTTTCATATATATATAAAATGTATGGATTTGAATAAACAAAAACTTGAAAAAGCTTTTTTTAATTTAATAAGTGTACTGGGTGATTTTTTTCTATAATTAAAAAGATAAATTCAAATTTATGAATTCATTTCATTATTTATTAATTTATGAATAAATTAAGTTTGTAAACTTAGACTTCGTATTATCGAAAGAATAAAACTTTAATTAAATCGTAAAAAACAAATTTAATCCAATTATTTTAATACAAAAATAATAAAGACTTCATTTCCATTATTTCTAAACTAGTTCACAATAAATTATCCATCTAACATAAAAAATAACCAAGCGCAATATATGTTGCAAAATCTTGCAGATCTGGTGCGCGTGCTTATACTTCATAATTCCTAAGCTTTCCGCTTCATTTTCTCTTTATTTTTGTATCATAATCTAGGAACGTTCTATGCCAGAGGCCTATCTGCATAAAGTATTTTGCAGTTTATTTTCTAGGAAGATATATCAATATACGGACGCTTATAATAGACTTATGCATTTAAAACAGCAATTAAAATAATTATTGTATATATCCACAGTCTTTGCACGAAGATTTCTTTTATATTCTATTTATTTTAAAGCAAAAACTATTTTCTATTGTTAATATTTTTTCATTTCTAACATACAATGCTCTTTCTAAGTACAAATTCTCGTCACGAGCATTTTACTTTTATGATTTTCCTCTTATTTTTGCTCTTAAAAAAAATAAAATCAATTGTCTGGACAATTATTTTTATCTTTACAGCCTCATAAGCCTGATAGTCAGAAGGTGATACTACAGCAAGTAACTTTGGATGCTACAGGAGTATATAAATGCGAAGTTAGCGCTGAAGCTCCGCAATTTGCTACAGCTCATGGGCAAGCCTACATGGAAGTTATTGGTAAATAAAAGAAAACTTTGAAACGAGTAAAAATCAAATGATCTAGAGAGATGTAGGAAATGAAATTTGGTAAAAAAAACAAATATTTTATCACCAAGTAATTATCTTGGACGACAGTAGCTATTGATCGTGAGCAATTTGTTCAACCTTATCGCCAACTTGTCTTCTCTTTCATGTATTTTTATTGCTACTAAGTATCGAAGTTTGGTGACTCAGCAAATCGTTTACCTTCATCGTGACCACACGAGATCGGTGACGTGTTTACGAGTTTACCTCGCTGATGTTAAATTTTAAAAAAAAAAAAAAACAACAAATTGAGAAGAATTATACTTTTATGATATCATTTACTAACTTGTCCATGACACCTTTAAATATTACGTAAAGCAATAAAAATGCTGGAATTCAATCAATATTGAATAAATACTTAAAAACGAAAGTGCCACCATTGAGGTGATATTTCTATTAAATTTTTTGAAAAAAGAACTTTAAGAGAAGAGTTGCAAATTTTTATTTTTTTTTTTATATCATAAGTGCAATTCTTGTGAGAAGTTTCTTTTCTTTTGTGGCAATTTTTTTACTACCTCGTAAAAGAACAGTCGAGGCATTTTTTTCCTTATCTAGAGATATATTCGTTTTATACCACATTATTATGTAAAATAATAACCAAATATAATTTATTAGGTTATTATTCTTTTAGTAATAAATTAATTCATCAAAATATCAGTACACTGTAATTAGAATTCAAGCTTTTTGTAGGGATCTATAGATCTAAACTTGTAGATACTGTCGTTTGGCTACTGAGAAAAAAAATTTATTTCAAAAATGAGTTAATCAAAGTAATGAACATTATGGAAATTTACTGTTTTAATAGTAATACAATGTAATCTTCTTAAAATAGATTCAATTGACAAAAAATTTACAGTTATTACAGAAAGTTCATGTCGCTCTAAAAAAAAAAGTTTCGATACTATCAGAAAACAGTATTATTCTGTAAGTACTAGCTGTTGTAAAAGCAAAATGCTTCATTAATGTTTTTTTTAAATCAATATCATCAATAAGTGAACATAAAAATAAAATAATTAATTAGACAATCAAATATTTCAAAAATTCAGACTAAGAATTTTTATTCATGACTCTAAACATGAGAAAGTTTCAAATTCATTAGAGTGTAATTGAAAGTAAACTTTTTTTTAATGTAAAAACTTTATCCTATTAATCATAAGTATAAATTGCATTCACATATTCAGGAAATATATTTAGAATATCATTGGTGTATAGAAGAGACTGTGAGAGTTCATGTGCAATTAGTATTTAGTTACGTGAAATCATATCTGAACCAACGGTGTATATTATTTCTATCGAGATCCAAACTCTCAGCTCTGAACTAATTTAGATGCATTCAATTTAAATGAATATGATCAGATCAAGTTAAATCTAATCAAGTTTGAAAAATTCTATAATCGAAATCTAGATGAATTAAAACAGATTTAGATTAAATCCAACTATTTCATGGTATACTTATTTGAAAATTAAAATATTGAAAATTACAATAATTTGGTACTTCAATAAAAAATAAAACTTTGAATCAATCTGATGATTATCTTTGATATATTATTGATTAAACTTTCATTTACATGGCTATGATCGTGATAAAAAATTCAAATTCATTACAACAACTTTTTTACCCTTATTATTGAAGAAAAATAAGCAGGTAAATAAATAGTAATAAAAATGGGATTAATTCTAGCTGTTATATTACCCTACCAATCACATTTATTGTACTTGACCCTAATTGTTATGATTAAAAAATGAGGCTTAACTGTATAATTAAAAATTCCCATGACATGAGGCAATTTTTTCTTCTAATCACAAAGATTGCTAAGTGAGTTAGTCGCAATAAGTGGCACATCATAAATAACTTTCTATTTATTTTTACAAAACAATCATTTCAAACCAATTATAAGTATCTTTTTTTTATTATTTTTCCATCTAATTGATAAATTATTGTTTCAGAATATTTTTCTACAAACATGATTTCACGAAAAAATTAATAAACTTCTATGAGGAAATTTGGCAATGTTTCAGTTTATTTCGATTACAATGAAGTTTTAATGAAAATTTTACTTACTTAACTTCGAATCAAAGTTTGATCGATTCAATAACAGAAACTTTATCTTTGATTTGTTATCTTTTAATTACTTATTCCATAATGAAATATTTTTTCCCTCATAAACGTGAATAGATTAAGTTACTATCATTATGCAAACCAATTGATTTTTTTTAAAGATTGAAATTCTATCAGATAAGATATTGATTTATGAAATAAAAGTAGCATTATTAAAATAATTACTTACTCATTCCATGATTTATATATAACAAACTTAGTTTAGAAATATTAATACAACCTTCGAATCTTTACTAAGTTTATGTGGTCAAAATTATACAAAAAAATAATTATATCTCACAGGCTTCTAGTGTGCGATAATTGTAGAACAAAAAAAATGCCCTCAGGTGGTTATTTAATTGAGATTCCGGTTTCAATAGTGCATCGCGTGAGTCAAACTCAAAGCAATTAATGTGAAGAAGTAATGAAAAAATTGTAGCATACTCTCGTTAAATTATACCAGATATATTGTGCGAAAAAATACTAAAAAAGAAAATATTTTTTTATGCTCATTGACATACAGCTCCTCCAACTGAGGGCCCGACTATCACAGGCGTGGAAAATATATATGCTACTGGTGATATTCTGGCTCTTAATTGCACAAGTGGAAAATCTTATCCAGCAGCACAAATCACGTGGTTTATTAACGATATCAAGGTTGGTATTTCATCCATTTATTAATTTAAAATACATTGAATTTTTTTTATTGATTCTCAACTCTATGAGTGAAAAAATTAGCTATTGACAATTAAACTACTTTTATTGCAAAAAACTATGGGATAAAAAGTTTGTCGATTGGACAAGTCTACAAAATTTAGGTCACAGAAAGTTTTCCATGTTAATAGAAAAATTTAATGTTAAAAAAAAATTGTCGTTCGATATCTAATAGAGAATTACTTGGAAGTTTATTGACTAACGAAAATGGACATAAAAAATGTTTACTAAAGAGAAAAAATTGATTAGGAAATAGTTGATTGAAAAGATTATTATCTCATTTAGGGAACTTCTTGAATGCAATTATTATTTTATGTAAAAAATAGTTACTACACAAACGTATATATGAAAAAGAAAGTAGAATTATGGATCACTTTTTGTTTTTATTCAATTACATTTTACTCTGTTGAAGTCTCACCAATTGTCACTTTTTGAAGTTTGTGTTTATTTCGAAAAAGTTACTTTTTAATATTTTTCTGGGAAAAACGAATGAACCATATTAAAGATTGGACCATAATCCTACATTCTTCTCTATATGGATAATAATTTAAATGTCATCTTTATTAAACTAAACTTTCAACTAAATCACCCAACAAATATCAAATTATGAAACAATAAATTACTTGCAAACTTTCTCGTCAATTAAAAAATAATTAAAACTATCAATTTTACTATCATGAAATTACAAAAATATATTAATACAATTTTCAAAAATTTTGAAATTTAAATTTGCACTATGAAAAATATAGAATGATTTTTTTCTAATTGATGACCTAAAAATTATTTTTTATAATTATACATTTCAATCTAGAAATATAAATCGGCAGGTTTATAATAGTCAAATAAATAAAAAAAAATACTTATTCAGCAGAAGTAATTAAAAGACTTAAAGTAAGCACTCTCTATAACTATCATCAAAGATAAGTTAAATTAAAATTACTGAGCAAACGTTCCAATTAACGCGCAGCAGTTATTTCAATTTTGTTCTATACAATTGCAATGCTTTGATCATAATTACTCACAAAAAAAAATAAAAGTAAAGCTGTAAATGATGGGCAAAGTTTTTGAGAAAAGCTTCTAATTACAACAAAAATATTCTTACAGGTGAAAGCAGACTCTGAAATGATCATCCGCCATCGTGATCTCTTATCAACTGTATCAAGTTTGCGACTTGAAGTGGGTCCACATCATTTAACTGTTGGAAGGATTAACGTGAGGTTAATAACAAGTTTCTAAATTCTCTTTACACTTTATCTTAATCGTTCTAAAATAAAATTTTTGTTAATTTTTAAAGATGTGTATCAATAGTTAGAACGAGTGAACGAGCTACTGAACGTTTTGAGGACTTAAGAGAAACCAATATTTTAGGTAAGTCATTTGATATATGTACCTATGTGTCAGTAATCAATTTACGAATATTTACTTCAATCAGCAACAATCAAATGGCAAGAAGTTGATAACGATGTAAATTTATTGGATATTGATGTTTTTCATTATTCGCTTCGATTCTCTAATTATCGAACTAACTGAGAGTGCAGGTCAAATTTAGTTCCAACCACCAATCGTCGATGGTAAATTCAATTTACTCGACGTCTATAACTCGCTATTTCGTTATGAGGATTAGTAACGGGAGTATTGGTATAACACTTATTTATCCCCACAAGCAAATCTATGTAACTTATTATCCAAGTTTTAATAAACATCAGAAAATAGTGGAAAGTATAATACAGTAAATCTAATATAATCTTTTGTTTTCTCTGATAACAGTTGAGCTTTTTCAGAGGAAGTAATTCAACAAAGAGTTGCATTTTCGTTTTGGTGAAAAATTCATTGATTCTAACTATGTGTCTACATCAGACTTACGTGTGGTGTAATTTTATGCAAATATCTAGATGATATGAACGTTACATCAACTCTAACAGACAGCATGACTAGCATATTGCTGAGCAACACATTTAGATGGAGTTGAATGAAATTATTGAACTATTTTTACGATCAATTAAAACGATTTAAAATGAGATAGATTAGATAGTGAAAAATAACACAAGGATATTAGCAGATTCTGTTTGATGGTAACTCATGGATACGAAAAAAAAATCACTATTCTATATTTCTAGCCTAAAAGCACGGTTAACAAGTTCTGATCCAACATTGAAACATGATAGACTTGATCTGATAGTGTGGAGCTAGTGATGGCTATTCATGTTTTCCTATTAAAAAGTAGGTTCTCCACAATGTTCTATATATCCTAAGTGTTTATATTCCATGTTTGAGTCTGGGCTAAATATTAAAACTGATTTTAAGGGTTATTCACTAGTTGAATGATGGCCAAACCTTGTATAAGAATTCAGAAGGTCAGTCTTGTTCCCTTACAGCATATACACTGTATATGTACAATTTATCAGTTTCATCTTGATATGTATATATGTATCAATCATTCTGTCCGTTGTTCTTTTCAATTAATTCAGTAAATATTAACTTTTATTTAAGCATAAAATTATTTAGTCAATTTAGTAGTAAGTGTTAGTGAATATTCACTAATTCAATCAGAAAAATATTAGTAGGAAACAAAACTGACTCAATTCTAATTCATCAATGGATGACAGTTCATTATATTAACTCAATGTTGGATCAAAAATACATTTGTCTCGCTTCCCACATAGAGATAATACTCATATATAAGTATGTGTTTAAATGGATTCTAGGGTATCGAGGTCAAATATAGATATAAAAGAAAATTATACAGTAATTATCCACTTTGAAAAAGAATTTTTTGTTTTACATTAACAGGATAAATTTATTAAAATAATTTGCTAAAAAGATTTATTTATATTTTCAATTAACCTTTTATAAAATTCCCAATATTCATTTTGCAGTCACCTTGTTCATTTAATCATCACAATATCAGACATCTTGAAAATTCTGGCATACATTAAAATATCCAGAGTTCAAATAACCCAGACAAAATACCCTTTAATGAAAATGTGTCACGACAAGCTGCCTTGTAACGGATTAACCGCGTATGAAAATACCCCAAGACAAAGTATGTCTTTTAATTTATTAATCCACAGTTCCTACTACGAATATTTATTAACTTTTTCGCTCAAGTTTTAAATTAACTGAAAGTTCAAAATTCACATTTAGATCAATAATAATGTAAAACCATCGAGTTACATAGTAGAATAATCTATCATTCCTTACATTAGAAATTCGACATACATTTCTCCAATGAAAATTAATTGCACACAAAATTACCAATCGACTCAGTGTTGTTTAAAAATTAATCGATTAATAAATATATGATGTAGTTGATATATAATTTGGATTTTCTTAGATTGAATCCTTAATGCAAGATTTTTGATCACAGTTTTCATTAAATATCATAGAAATAAAATAACAACGTGAGAAAAAAAACAGGAAATAAGAAAGAAAATACAAAGCAAAAAACATTACGATAAGAAATAGTAGTGAAAGGCAAGTACGTGCGAATGACGATGGTGTGGAAAGCTCGCGGCAAATCGGAGACGGATTCAGGTGGTCACAGGGGAAAAAAAGAAAAACGAACAAGAAAAATAAAGAAACCGGAAAAGCTGTGGAGCGACTCAAAGAAATTGCTCTTAACCATCTTCGATTTTCTCGTTAGACGAATCATTCCATATATATATATATATATTTCTCCACATGTATATATCTCTTGAAGACATCTATAGACAAAAATATATACGCTAGTTACATCTTTCGCATTTTCCATTATGTCCTTTTTCTTCTTTTTATATTTATTTTCCTCTAAAGCCAACAATCGTGCTGGTTTCGATCAAATTGTTAAATAATCGTTTCTACGCCGTTCAAGATCCCACTCATGATTGACAGGGGTTATATCTAGTTAAAACGGCCAATTGCGATGGAAACAAAGGATGCTTAACATCACGTTCATACAGGGAGCGCTAAGTCACGATTTTTTTTGTTAATAGTATTTTTGTGCTACCACATGGGAGTAGAAAGTCGTCACGCACTTTAGATTATTACCATAATTTAGATTAAATAACGTTTATTCATATCTGAAGTGTAAAATCTACTAGAGTGATATGTACTTGCAAATAGCCTTTGATAGTTGGTCATCCTTAATTATTAAATTGGCAACAAATTGTTTTATAAAACTTATTTCTTTTAAATTATACACAGAGAGAATTTTTTCACTAAATTTAAGAGCAAAAAGTGACAAGCCCACGTCTCAAAATTTGAATGTAAAAATATTTCTTCTATTCGATAGTAAATTTTGAGTTCTTATAAGTAAACTTGAGACTTAAAAGGTGCCTTAGTAAAATAATTAATACAACAACCCAAAATCCACTGTTGAACAGAAATATTTCTACTTCTAAAATGAATAGAATGATGTCTAATTGAAAATAGTCTGTATTACACTCAATAGTTAATAAATAATAACTATTGCATTTGATAAATTTAGTAGATATGATTCGAATGAATGTCAATCAAATTAAATATACCATTTTAATATTCATCTTAGAAATTATATAGATGAAACATTCATGGAAGTGTTGAGACTTGTTGGATCTCATTATTGATATTAGCTATAAATAGTCTCAGAAACTTACTTAGAGAGTAGAGAGATTCCTTCTAAGACTTAACAAAATTAATCAATCAAATTCTAATTTATATAAAAGTTTCACTATCTTTTTATTGCAAATAACACATTTAAAAAATAATTGTAATAAATATAATTATGAGTTATAAAATAGAATTTTGAAAATTTTCAAAAGAATAAATAATTCACTGTTCAATTCGGTTCAATGAGCAATTTATTATTAAAAAAAAATCAAGTTGCTTCTATCTTACTTGTTAGTTAATGTTTATAAAAATAAAGATTATATTGGATCAATTTTATCCAATAATATATTACTCAATGGTATTCATCAGATTATTATTAAATAGTGGATTAAAAATGTGAACAATAGATAAAAGCTCATCGAATAATATTCGTTAAAAGTTTCTTATAATAAAGTATTTTTAAATATTACGAAACAATGCTATTGAATTGTTATAATCCTATTATCAAATGGAAAAAAATAGATGAATAATAACAGTAGAAAAATTTTTTTTCATCATATATAAAGCGAGATATCATTGATAAATAACAATAATATAAAGCTTTGATGACATAAAAAACACAGACGTTTTATTTCAGTTAAATAATTGTTTGACTTTGAATATTCGCACTTTTATTCAAACATGTTTGTCATTGTTTTTTTTTTTGTTAAAAAGACTATGAATAATATAGAAAGTAATTATCGAATGTTATTGTAAGAGAACGTGTGCTTGTAAGAAAAATAGAGAGAAAAAAAGAAAGTGTAACATCAAAGTTCTATGTGGTTTGTGTGAATTTTCCTCGAAAAGAGAAATTAAAATGAATTATTCAAATAGGTTTCAACTGGTATCTATTATTTAAACATTAAAAAGTATTTTATTATAATAATGAGACATAGTCGATTTAATAAGTTACATTTTCGAACATTAACGAACTTTAGCTTAAATATTTTATTACAACTTTAGAGTTACAGTGTCAAAATAGTGACAATTTGCTTTTTTTTCTTTTCTGAATTCATCATTATAAATTTATAAATAAGGACCATTTGTGTCTAGAATTATAATGTATAAATATAAAAAAATAAACTATGATGTAGGAAAAAAATCAATGATGAATATGATAAAAATGATATGAACTTCCGTAACTGTCAGATTTTTAGTACAGAAAATATTAATGCATTCATATATGATCACTTGTAATTTAAAATATGTGCTATCATACGGCAGTAGTGTCGTACATTTACATATCCCAGGAATCAAAAGGATTTATTGGGAGTTCATTCTAAAAAAAAGTCAAACCATCGCTGTTTTTATTTCTTTGTCCTATACAAAATGTGTGATATAGAACAAAAACTTTATTCCCATAATAAAAAAAGTCATAATTATTAACTTGAAGCTTCAAAAAATATTATAAAGTACTGAAGACTAAATCAATCTTTAAAACAAGTCTAAAACAAACTCATTACATCAAAACCGTTCTCATAGTTTTCTTAATCAATAAACAAACGTCAAAACTTACCACTTCTTATTAATAATCGATTTTTACATAATCACGCATACATTGTAGCTCGTCATTCACTCTCTTCATCAATGCATGGTGGTATAATTTTTGACATCGATATCAGTTCTCTTTACGACTGTTTCTCATTAGTGACAGCACAGTCTTTATTAATCTGTACTTGTTAAATATTTATAACTCATTGAAAAAAAACTACTTTTCTCTAATATGTTTTGTTCTATCCATAACTTGTGAAAAATAAATGACTGAATAAAATTTAATTTCATTGCAGTTCAAGGACGTACAAGTTTCATCGGACCCTGTCTTCCACTCCTGATAGCAATGATGATACTACATCAAACACTTGTGATGAATTGAATCCTGATGAATAAAACAAAGGGTTCCATTCTGTGTTCCAGGAGCCTTAACAAAGACAACGAAGGCTGTGAAGATAGAGAAAGCATGTGTAAAAAATTGAAGGAGTGATTACGACATATATATGGGAGAATGTTTCGTGACCAAAGACAATCATGTTCCAATAATGAAAAATTGTGAAAAATTACTGAGGGAGTCATTAAGAAATTAATTATAATCGTTATTGTACAGATGAGAATGTATGATGCGTTTGAGTTATTAAAGATCAGCGATTTTCCTCTAAGTTTCCACTTATATATCTTTCACGTTGTTCTTTTAACGATACATATATATTTACACACACACGTCCGGTTTTATTACACTCGAGACGTAAATCGAGTAATAAATTGTTATGAGCACAATACTACTATTATTTCAACAGCTTAATGAATATTTACAAAGATAGGAGATACAGTGGAGTTCAACATTGGAGGATCTTTTCAAGAAAATGGAAATTTTTCATCATTATTACTTTTATTTCTGCTCCATAATCGTATTTTAATGAACCAGGATACCAACTACAAGTAATTGTCCAATTTTGTTCTTATTATTTTCAACAATACAAGACTTTAATAACAAAAAATGTAATTACCTTCGAATTTCTTTGGTTATTTTACCAAAATTATTATTTTTTCTGTTTAAAAAACGACTGCTGATAAGATCACAAATAAAATTTGTATCCCTCAGTTACATGTCAGATGCTCTACTGTTTGGGCTTTCCCATGCTTCTCTTTTTTTTCATTTACACATTTTACTATGTGATAATTTTACAAAAGAGATCAATACTTTGTAAAGTCAATAATGAAACTAAATTGAGAGGTAGAAATTAATGTTAGTTGTGTACATAAATTTTCTAAAAAATATTTTTCAAAATTTTATTCTTTTAAACTGAATCAGTAGAAACAACTGTGAATGAACGATTGAACTGGTGCTGACAATCAGTAAATAGTTAGTGATTTGAATCAGGGGTGATCACAGTGGTTTTTACTGATTTAATTTGAGAGAGTAGAAACATTTGTTCGGTCAAAATCCATTGGGAATGATTTTGTGTGTTTTTTTCAGAATTTATACACAATAAACAAATAGTAAAAATTGATAATTAAAATCTAAATCAACATTTTCTACAGTGGAGATTATCATCCCAAAGATGTTTCCTGGCTCATAAACAAATGGTAGGGGGCTGGAGGTAAAATAAAGAATGTTACACTTAATAAAAAATAGAGCTAATAATGATAATACGTATTATTTATGTGTATTCTAACTATTCCAACCAGAAATTGTTGAAATTATAAAAGCTTTCGAAAAAATTATATCTTCCCCAGGTAGAAATATATCTAGTATAAACTACTCTGAGAATTTTTTTTTTACATTTTACTAAGTGTCCCAGTAAAATTTACTAGGCTGCTCAGTAAAATGTAAAAAAATTTTTCTCAGTGACGCAACTAGGTAGGTTTTTTATAGTTTTATCAGTCAAGTATTGCAGAATTGAACAAGCTTGAGCTAGCAATTGCCATCAGATAAAAATTTTTGGATGTTTGAGTAATTAAAGATTCTACTAATTAAATGATCAATACATACTCTTTCATAATTGCATATTGCTTGCAATTGCAATTGCTATTCATTTTAAATAATTAAAATCCCTTTTATCTCTTTTTTAAGGATTAGATGAATTTGAAAAAAAGATATGATAGGAAATAACCATAAATGTAGTTTTTTGATTGTGTATTATTGATAAAAAAATTGAGTTTGTTATTAAAAAAGAATTCATTAGTCTGCTATTGTTAATATTTTCTGATCCATTAACAAAATTTATTTTTTCATAGGTAGAATTCTTTTTTTATTGCCTATTAGAAATTGCAATTGTTATAAATAATATACAATTGTTAAAAGACATTCGAAATTATTGACAACAATATTCTATTGATTTTTTCCTAATCTCATTACAATATCAATCATTCAATAGATAAAACCTATTTTTAATGGTTTATTATTTAGATTTTTTTATATAAAAGAAATATTTTTATCGAATTATCGAAATATTTGTTTGAAGTCTATTTTGGTCTTTCTTATCCCTTTATCTTTTGAATGAAATTAAAAAAAATGTATGTATAACAATTTTATACAATAAGTTCTATAATTTCTGCAAAGTTAAAGAAAACCTTTTATTAAAAAAATCTCATTATTGGTGAAAATAAGCGTAACCAAGCAATCTCGTGGCTAGCGCCAAGATAAAAGCTATGAAAACTAGCTTGGCGCGTTACCACGCAAACTTCTATCAGGGTTAAAATAATAACACCACCAGAAAGTAACATTAGTTCCCTGGATAGGAATTTTTGTTAGATAATTAGAGCCTTTATTACTTGAAAATTTATTACTTGAATGATTTTTAACTTAACATCGGGCCAGGTTTACTTTCTACTAAAGACACTCCGAAATATCTGCATCCTTTATTATATTATTATTTTTGTGACATTCCTTTTTTTATCCTTTCATTTTTCAAGTAAAAATTAGAAGAGACCAGGGTGAGATAGTTCTCTGGTACAAGATAAACCCTCTAAAATAAACTAAAAAACCCTAGCAGAAACATGTAACAGGTTCATCATTGAGACTGGCATGAAGTTATCATTCAGTAATGGTTTTGTCCTCAACCATGACTGGACGATAACTTCATTAATTGACAAGTCTCACATACTTTAATAGAGAAAGACAAAGGTAAACGACTTACTTTAAAAATTACATAAATTATGAAGAATTAAATCATTTTGATCATTTTTAAAAAACATGCAAACCTTTGTATCTTTTTAGGTAAATAATCTTCTGAAAGGTACATGAAAATCACCATTTTCTTGTAATCCATAATTTTTGAACTCCACTATACTCTGCTTTGTGATCTTCGGTAGATGTTCAATTGAAATAAGTCGAAAGAATGTAAATAAATTTTGGCATTATTTATAGGTGGAATTATAAAAATTGTTGAAGAAAAAAAATGTTAAATCTTATAATAAAATGTATAAAGAGTTATTTTTGTCTGAAAAAGTATTGGCAGAATCAAACAATAGAAAATAAAGTAGTGTAAAATGATTCTGACAAGAAAAAGAATGGATATATTTGACGCTGACGATCTGTGTCATCATATCATATGATATATAAGGAGCTTAAATTTATGCTAAAGTCATGAGGGAAGAACATCTACCAAGATAAAATTCGCAACTAACAAGAAAAAAATCACTGTGGTAGATAAGTTGAGATTTGAGATAAAATAAAACATAAATGCCTCGGTAAAGTATGCAGATTGGCAGATTAAAAAATGGCACAAGGAGAAATCCTCAATAAAAGATGAAACCACTCAGCGAGTGACGTCAATAAAGAGAATTAAATATCGTAAAAATTTTGACGCAGTAACAAAAAAATTACGTTTTCACTAGACTTATCTTATCAGCATCATATCACACGCTAAAACCGATAGAATATTTCAATAAAAGTTCTATGTATATACATCAATTAAAGACAAAAAAAAAGATAAAAATGAAAATATAGATACACCCATAAATGTAAAATTGGCGTTGAAACAATACGTCTGAAAAATAATTCATTATTTATATCATAATTGCATCCAAGTGGAATATTTCAGGATATATTTAATGCATTCACGTCCTCGCGCTGTTTTGTTGAAGCATTTGATGGTGAAATTTCGCTTTCGGCGGAATATTGTTAATCGTACAAAGCTATACATACTTGATATTAATAATTGTACTTTTAATCCCGCTTGTACATAAATGCATTTATGCGCCCCGAAAAAAAAATGATATATATAAGGATGGCTTATTGTCTAGACAAGATGACAGGAGAAAGCTCGTAGAATAATTATTGCGTGTTTCCAAGAGCAAAATTGTTTGTGCTCATCTCTAGACAACGTCTAGGCGTTCACTATAAATATGAAATATTATCTATTTATGTGTATGGCCTAATGTATATGTACATAATATATACTTTGCATATTTAGTGATAAATAAATATTTCATAAAAAAAGAAAACAACTACCCTTTTATATTTTATTCACTACTTACACTTATTGCAATAAAAAGCTCTTATCTGGACACTTCAGAGTTGATTAGCTATAGTCTCTTGAACGTCTAAAAAAATTTCCTTGGCACAAAAAAATATAATCAGTTCTCAAGAATACATTTCTAAAGTAACTTAATTCCGGAAGATAAAAACGTCGAAGTCTGAGTATAATCAGCCAATTTTTCTCTAACCAGAGATGCCTGATTCTACCCAAGCTTTCGCTTTATCATTTTTTGCTCAGATAATTCAGAAAAACCCATCAACCAAAGTGTAAATGTGGATTTTATTTCAAAGCTCTACATGATAACCTGATTTTGTAGATTTAATTGCATTTTTTGAATGGAAAGAAATCACTGCGACGAAAAAGAACAGTAAGTTCAGGAAATAAAATAAAAATCTTACTTTTTTTTTAGATAACTTAATTTTTTTCTGACCATGAAACTGGAAAAAGTGTTATTAGCATTCGAAAACAAGGCAAGATAAAGCAGCCAAGATGCATATCATTCCACTTCTCAAGCTTTCGTTTCTGTTTTCGAACAGCTTAAAAAGGGTTTAATAAATTTTACTTAAAACTCGATCAGTTTCGAGTAATCATTATAGAGAGAATAAAAACAGGTGAGCAAACAAGATCGACCAAACCATGCTCGATATTGGCGGTAAAAAATTTGTTCACTTTTATACCGACAAACGGACGTAAATACATAGATTGGTACGTATGTATGCATGCTTACAAACAAACAAATAGACACGAATAAATACAGCCAGACATAAATAGTGTGTGCATAGACATATGTATATCACAACTTATGCATATGGACACATTAAAATATATATAACCCCTAAAAAAAAGCAAATATCTGAAAGTTGTATCCATAATACGCTTATAGTGAAAATAAAAGTGATGGTCGTAAGTAGACTTACAGTTGTAAAGTTTCTATACATGTAATTGTGGTCACTAGGATGTTGATCTTCTTTTTTAGTAAATATACACATGTACCAATGCATCAACATACCTACACACATTGATGAATATTTTACCAAAAGTTTTATCTCAAAAACATCTCCATCTATCTACTTTAAACCTGTATTGATTTATCGATTGACTTTTACTTACTAATTACTGAAAATTATTAGCATATGCAACTCGATAATGTGCATTAAGATTCATGATCTTGATTGGATCTGATTAAGTTCTAATACTGAAGTTTGATTTCATGTACTTGAAAACCCCCTGGATCTCAATATTCCTAATTATTGTTTTCTATACAAACTCATTATTGATTGTATTCAATTAAGTCTGAATAATTTTTATAAAATGAAACGAGATTAGAGTGATACACACAATTGACCCTACTCAGATTTAATGGAATCTAAACATCTTCATCTGTTTCTTAAATTTCGTCTTATCTGATTAGATTCAACTTAATCAAGCTATTTTTAAGATTACATCAAATCTGATAAGTTCAAATAAATTTGATTAATTCCTTTAATCTGCTCAGATCTTAGAAAGTTCATGATTACTTGAAAAATATTTCCAATAAAAAGTCTATTCTTTCTCTACTCTACTTCATTTCTACTAGATTTATAAATTGTAAAGTAACTTCCAATCAAACCATTATTATTTTTATTTTTTCTCAAGTTCTATTTATGATTATGAAGAGATATTGTATAAAAAGAAATAAAAGTTTAAACACTACTTCTATCAAGATCTAATATTGTTTGATTTTATTGTTTCATGTAATCAATAAGAAAAAAAAAACATTCAAATATTGAATATCATTTTTTATTTCCTGTTATTTTTTTAAGATATAAAATTTTTTTAGTGGAAACATTTTAATACAACCAACCACGTTTCTTATCATACATCAATATGGTGACTATGAATAAAATACTTGAATATTACGACAAATATCAAATGTAAAATTCCCACATTTTTACGTCTACATATAGAGTATTAAGAGATCATAAAAAAAGGTCTGAACAGAAATGACCAATTTCCCTTGCATATTGAAAATTCACTTAAACAATCATCAGTATTAATGATTAGCAAATCATGATGAGCAGTGTCTACAGTCGAGGAAATGTCAACTTGCTGCTAAATTATATATTTACATTGGAACAGCGTCAAATTATCATATAGAGGTAAAATGGATTTTCATCATGTACAAAACCGTAAATAATCAACAAACAATCAATAATTAAATCATCAATCCAATTTCTAGTCAAATTATTATAACTCAATAATTTATATTTCACTAGTTAAATACATCATTACTCTAAAAAAACAAATAGCTTGTTTCATTTATATTTAATTTGTGTTATTTGACTGGAGTTTATTATAGCAAATAATAGCAAGTTATTACCTAATTAGATAGTTTTTAAATGAAATCATTTCACGCTGAGATTATTTGATAAACAGCTCTGTATATTATTACATTAACTCATTACGTACGTGTTCAGAGCTTGCTATACGTTTAAGCTTAAGGCGAGACTGCGATAAATTATAATACGACGTCTCATACTAAG